CCCCGGCCCCGGCCCCGGCCCCGCCGCTCTGCTAGATGCCGCGCCCTCAAGGGCCCCTCGGTTCAACCCAGCTGCTCCCGCTCCGTTCCGCGCCCCTCTCCTAAACCAGGCCGAACCTGCCGAATGCGGAACTCTAGCTTGCTCCACACGCTCTGGGCGGCAAGGCGAAGAAAGCCGAGCGCCGAGGGAGAGATGGGGAGGATCATGGGAGACCACGTGACACGGAGGAGGGTGTGGGGAGAGGCGAGGTTGCCGAAGCGAGTATTGGGGGTGGGGGAGGCCTGATGGCGTCCATCCGGGAATCTGAGGGTGCATTTTCTCGCAGCCATAGAGCGCTGTTGCGAATGTCTTCTCCATCCGCCCGACATCAAAGCGAATATCTGCTCAAATTTCCTTGTGCTGCTTTACTGCGAAATAGCCAAAATCTCTTTAAAGAGCCGAAGCGCGTTTGGGACAGCAGGCAGCAGATGCCGATAAGGCGAGCAGGAAAGATCGTCCTAGACCTCATCGCCCGCCGAGCCTTGCTAGGCCATCCGTTGGGTTTCCGCAGTTCTGTCCTTAGTCCAGCTTCAGTCCTGGGCCTGTTTTTCGGACTAAGCACCACTAAAAAGGGCTCAGTGGGAATCCCTAGTACAGGTCGTCTGGGTGAGCAGGGGGTTGGACTAGATGACCTCTAAGGTCCCTTTCAACTGTTACTGTTACAGTGGAATCCGGGTTGCGGCCGGACGTGTTTCTTGTTCAGTCGGAGCTCCTTGCCTCTTGAGGGCATCGCAAATGAACGGTTTTACTGAACGTTTTCAGAAGCAACGTGGCTGTCTGCTATATTAAGCCAAGCGAGGAACTGAAACCTCTGCTTACCTTTTTTTTTCTTAGCGCGATTGTCATTACAGGTAGTCCTCCACTTACAGCAGTTTGTTTAGTAGTAATAGCAATAGCAGTTAGACTTATATACCGCTTCATAGGGCTTTCAGCCCTCTCTAAGCGGTTTACAGAGTCAGCATATTGCCCCCAACAANAATTGCTAAGATATATTTTAGTTTATACTGTGTATGGTTAATTTCTTATTATTAGGTTGAAAAGGATAACTGCATCTTTTGATAAGGTCTGAAATGACTACTTTCCATGAAATATAATAAGGAGGAATGCTGACAATAGCATTATTTCAAAATCAAGGGCACTCTTGAGGAATTATGAAGCAAATGCATATAAGGAAAAAATGGGAAAGTTATTTTAAAAAATAATCACTTTCCTGAATAAAGCAAATTGGATTCTACTGAGTAGTATTATTGCAATTACCTGTTAATGATGTCTTGGCACAAATATTACAATTTTAATTCAGATACTACCTGTTAGTATCCAATATGTTAATGTTCTCAATATGAATAAGATTGTAACTATCATAATTCCCAGCTTGATTGCTGTACTAGATGATGGCAGTTATAATCTAAAAACACCAGATTGGGTAAGATTCAATTAATCTATGGTTTCTAAAGCTAATACTCAAATTTAGGGTTCAAGAAAACGAGCTCATTTTTTAAAAATCACTACTTTTGCTATCACATGACATGAAAACCAAAAGGTGTTACAGCACAAAAGCTGATATAAAATTACTATTACTACAATTACCATAATTGAAAATGCACATGTACAGTAAATACTCTAGTCTGATAAGTAAAAATGCTTCTGTCAATAAATTTTACATGTTGCTGAACTGAAAGATGAAACAAAATGCAAGTTTAAACTTGGCATTGAAATGAACAGGCCATTCTACAGCACTGCCACAGGTAAGCTCATCTTCATAGTTCATATAATCAAATTTAGCTCAGTGAGGGAATGAAAGGATTACCTTTCTCTGGAGAGCTTAAGCTATGGGAAAACCATCCTTCAGTTTCCTCAAACTATCTCAAACAAAGAAGTGACACAACACCAAATAGGAATCAGAAGGAAATTCCTATATCTGGAATGGATTACTTAGGTCAATTTTTCTTCCTTTTTTGACATGTGGGCATGCAATCAGTCAAATTAACTTGAGCTGTTCTATGATAAGAAAGCATTTCATTAAAAAAAAATACCAGTTTACAGTTTATAGTAAAAATCCAGTGAGTTGAATATAAGGTTTTCCATTGATTCAAGATTTGTGATACAAAAGGCATGAACAAAGAAAATGGAGACTTACCTATAATATCGTGACTGTAAATAAGTAGAGCACACAGCTTTTGAAACATGACTAGCAGAGCCAAAGTCTATGACCTTGACCCTATATGGCTGGCGCACAGGATCCACCAACATGATGTTTTCAGGCTTTAGGTCAGCATGTATTAGACCTAAGCTTTTCAGTTTCATCAAAGCAGTGGCCACTTGTTGCAATATTGGTCGAATGTATTTCAGAGGCAGAGGGCTAAACTTATTTTGCTTTAAGAAGTCATACAAATTTTGTTCCAGCATCTCAAACACCAGGCATGTGTGGTTTTTGTGTTGAAAACACTCATATGAACGGACAAAGTTATATTCATCAGCATTTTCACTACTCAGTCGAGAGAGGATGCTCACTTCAATTTGACCTTGCCTGGCATAAGAAGGGTGATTTTTCAAAATTTTGATAGCAACAATTTCCTTTGTGCTGCGCTTCCAGCACTTTGCCACCTGTCCAAAAGTTCCTCGGCCCAAGAACTCCAAGACTTCATAGCTATTTGTCATAGAACAAAGGATTTCATGCTGGACTAGCTGGTAATCACCTTCGCCACTGGAACTACTGCCTTTGGTTGTTACAGTGGTGGTAGTGGCCGCAGCACCCACCGCAGGTCTGTTTTGCAGCATGAGAGGTGGATGTTCCTCAATTATTTGCACGCTACCGTTGCTGTCAACTTCTTCACTTTTCCTTTTTAAGCCACATTTTTGATATGGTTCCAGTAAAGCAATGTTAGCCCTGTGTGTTAGGGCTTGGCTGTTTTGAAAGGAGGTTGTTCCGCCACTGCCTGTACTGTCTGCTGCTGTAACCACAATGTGCTCAACTGAAGGAGCAGGGAGAAGGAGGTTCTGATCATAAGCAGGGATACTGAAGTTTGCTACCTGGTGAGAAGAGCTTGCTGGCCCTTGAGCACCAGAGAGATTTTTGCCGTGACTGTAATACTCGTCACTGTTACTTTGTCCTGAAACATCCCAGTTAGAGGGCTCCACTTTCAGTTTCTTGGCACTGCAAAAGGCACTCGAAGATACTGATGGAGGTGAAAACACCTGCAGCTGTGAGGCCATACCTAGAGGAAACAAAGAACTAGACGTCACATTGGCAGGAATAGAAATCACAAATCTTTTGCCACCAAGTAAGAGCAGCCAACTCATCATTCATTTCCCCAAATTTGCTATTAGCGATTATAATTGTATCCCATTTCTATAGATATATATATATACCATAAAACCTTCTTAGAAGCAATAGCAGGAAAAGAAGCTATAGTTATTATTCTGGAGTCATTCCAACAGAGCAATTAGTTGCAACAGATCGCTCTATAAAGGGAAATTCCAGTTGTATTGGGATATTTATCCACCTTCTTCAGAAGGTTAGAAAAGTCCAAGTCAATGTTACAGTGGTACAGTAGAAGAATGTGATCTATAAATCTAACTATAATTCTACTATTATGCACAAAATTCTACATTTCACATAAAGTTGTGTGTCTGTTGTGCATGGTTATGTGTTTGTGTATGTATATATATTTGTGTCTTCAAGTCTTGCAGCAAGATGGGAGGCAAACAAATTTAATAAATAGACAGACAAATAAATAAAGTCAATCTTGACTCCTAATGATTACATGGACAAATCCACACAGCTTTCTTGGCAATATTCAGAAGGGTTTTGCTACTGCTTTCTTCCTACTTACTAAGACACTCACACAGCTGAATTTGTGCCTAAAACAGATCTAGAACTCACAGTCTCTATTTTTTAGCCAGATGTTTTTAAACAGTACACCAAATAGGCACAAATGTTATCTTGGTTATATTAACTGAATGATCAGCCCGCTACTCGCGCAAGTTGAGCTGCACACGCTCTGGCCAGCCACTCATGCATCCCAATTCCAACTAGGCCACCGCCCGGTAGTGGGTGGCGGCCCAGGGGTGAGGACTCCTGTCTCAGGATACTAAAACTTCATTTAATATTTAAATTAGCATTTAATTGATCCTTTAACCTTTAATAGTTTAAAAGTATCTTTTAATTATTTGGCTTTTCCCAGAATAAAGACAACTATATATGGCAAGGTTATTCAAGAGCTACCCAATTTTTAAAAAAATCATCATGAAAACTTTTTTTTAGATTTCGAAGATATACACATGTCCAAAACTACACAATCCATGATTTATGCAAGATTTTTGTACAAATGTTCCATAGTCAATTCATAAATTGCAACATTTTTATTTGCAATGTTAATAAAATCTCATTCTGTAACGAATTTTCCTATTTAAACAAAGACATTCACTCACAATGCTATTTATGCTACCTGCACCAGTTAACATTTTTTCTTTCTATTTCACTTCCTAGCAATGTTATTAAACTCTAAAATGCTGCCTATGGTGCAAGTGCTTCCTTATGCCATCCGTACAGACCAGTAGAAGTATATTCAGGAAAAAAAATGGAAGAAAAAAAATAGCTACAGATAGTCCTTATGACCACAACTGAGCCCAAACTTACTGTGGCTAAGTGACACATTTGTTAACTGAGTTTTGCCCCATTTTAAGACATTTCTTGCCATAGTTGTTAAGTGGATCACTGCAGTTGTCAAGTTAGTTAGTAACTGTTGTAAGTTTAGGGCTATCTGTATTATTATAAGATAGTTCTGGAAAAATGTACATTTAACCCATTAGTTATTAACGATCACAAATGCAGTTTCAATTTTGAATCATCTCTAGATTGCATTAATTTTGCACGTGAAATGCCCTAACATAAAATTAAACTATCCCTTAGTAACTTCCAGTAATAACTTCCAGTGTTTTAAATACTAGAATCATATTTTGACTAGTAACTATAACAACATATTATACAACAAAACATCACCAACTCTAGGAGCAGAGGAAAAGTCAGAATAACAGAGTTGGAAGGGATGTTGGAGATCTTCTAGTCCAACCCACTGCCTAGGCAGAAAACCCTACACCACTTCCTCACATGTTAGTAATCCAGTTTATTAGGTATTCTAATAATATTCCTACAAAATGTTGACTCTTTTTTCACTCTATCAATATCAGGTCTATCAGAGGCTTAAACTTTAACACAAGTATTTTGCCAGTAAACTATTTTCCAATTCTTACAACACAAATATGTTCGGACTTTTAGGAGCTTGGCTATTAATCTATTTGTTCAAACTACTGCAAAGTTTGAATCTCTCCCCAAAAAACTACTGGCTTTTAATAATGAATATAAATGCAAGCTTCTTTTATATGATACAATACAAATTAGCCTATACTGAAGTGACTGCTCTTTTTTATATATCCAGCAATAATCAGATGCCATCTACCAATGGCAAAGCACTTCTCATGCAAAGCAAATGCAGCAGCATTTTATATATAGATTTCTAGAAAATTGGCAGAGAACTCAGTATTTTGAAAAGCTTATGTCAGTTCCATTTCAACTTTAGCATATTAGCTCATTGAATAAAAAACAGTAGCAAGAAAATCAAATTTGGCTCCAAGAAATGAATCTCAGGTTTTTATTCCCAAAGCAATATCTGCCCAAGGAAGACTGCTGTACTAAAGGCATTGTATCAAGTTTCGAAGAACAACCATAACACATGTTTCAGCAAAATACTTTTATCAGTATCCAGGAAACTGTCCTAAAATCCTCTCCATCCTGCATATAACCTAGATCTAATGCCACATCAGCATCAATTATGTGTTATAAAATTGGTCTAAAAGTAAACTGTTACCAGGATAAAAACAGCACACATTCAATTCTAAAGAACTGCACTAAAGATGTGATCTCAACAGGAGGAAGTGTCAGTATTTCAGGTTACAAAGGCCTAGATAGTTTTCAGTCTGTTGCATCATGGTTAATTTTTAAGCTATTTACTCTATTTTTCTATCAACACATTCTATCAGTGAGTATTAGACTGGACTAGATAAAATGTTGGTTCTTTAGAGCAATTCTGTTCATAAGTAAACAAATGAATAAGTAAAATGCAGTGAACAGGGAGCAGGTTTGTTCAATGCAGCTAAATGATTAGGAAAATCTTGTCAAAAAGAAAAAAAACACTTGTATGTAATACACATTAACTTGTAGAAGGTACTTCATTATACTAGAATGGCTGAAAATTATGGCAGTTTTAAAAGGGGATTTAAGCCTTATTCTCCACAAATTTATCTACCAAGTTGTTAGTAGCATTATGGAATACTATATTATATACATATGCACATATTGTCCTCTTCAGGTTCTTTGATGAGAAGTGAAACATCTTCAAATAAAAATCAGAAACTCCAGTTGCTTCTTGAAAAAGTACCTTTGGGACAACCATGACCTGGATGACTAAGAATCTCCATAGACATATGTCTATATATATATTAACCATATCTATATATACATACATACATATCCCATCAAATCCAATATGCCTTTGAATGTACCTTTGAACTACATTCTGACAGATTTAGATATTGCTCATCTTTCAAAAAGATCTACTACAGAACACTTTATTTGTTAAATGCATATCTCACCATTCATTCAGGTACTCAAACAGGTAAACACAGTATTTCCTTCATTTTTTTCACAACAAATCTGTGAAGTAGACTCACTGAAAGTCACTAATAAACTTCAATGGTTTAAGGTGGACTTAAAAATATGTCTTTTCCCTGTCATCCCAATAACTTAAGTTCTACACTACATAGATTTTACTAATGAAAAAAATCAGCATTTTTTGACTCAGATCACCTCATATGCAATGAGCTATGTCTCACCCACTTGATTGAATTAGCTCGACTGCTTGAGATCATACAATGTTCTGTACCATAACCACAATGTTCAAACAACACAACCAATAACTAGCCAACCACATTTAGCTTAGCATCTTACATAAGCGCAGACATTCATATGCAGTAACTTAATAGCAGCTTAAATGAAAATTTTTCAAACCATTACTATTTTCATATAAAATTAACTGAGGAATGCCTCAAGATGAGTTACTTATATAGCACATCACAGGACTAAATGTAAAATCTCTAGCTACTTCTTACTCTAAAACAGCATTTTTAAGTACTATCTGAAATCACCAATAAAAATTTGTTTTGGCTCTAGGTACAAAAATCACTGTGGGAAACTGAGGAAAGATCATAATTGCAACAATAGCATACCACAAGGCATACAAGACACCTCATGTCGTTTGTTGTAAGATCAGTGGGAAATTCAGCAACTATTCTGAGGTTATCCTGCTATAAGAAAAACAATGTGTCTTCAAATGTTTATTTTCTGGGGAAATACGTCGTGTTTCTCTGCGAGAAGCGCTGTCGCCAATTGCTAATTCGGTATAATTTTTGTTGAGCTCCAACTGAATTTCAGCGCAACGAAATTGCCTAATGCGCACAACACAAGAAGGTTTTCGGAAATGTTTGCCGCAATTTACACGGCAAAAGACTTTGAGGAATCCGCTCAAGCGATGGAAGCAGGAAGGAGCAAACAAGTTTGAAGAATGGAAAAATCCAGTATCTTTATTCAAGTTTATAAGACTCTGGGAACTGGAAAAACAAGGCAGATTACACCATGTTAAGGGGAGGGGAAACCCGATCGTCTACTGCCACGGGGGTCTTCCGATCTACCGCAATTTACTCACTTCTGGCAAGCATTTTCGCTCGTCGTCTTTCCGAGCAGGCCTCAGCGGTGGCCGAGTGAGATGGCGGTCACTGACCTATATCAAATCAGGGCTAAACCGCGTCCCCAGCGGCCTGTCCCGTTCGACCCTACCCTCTCACGGCCGCCCCGAGGGAAGGTACTTACTCGCCGCCGTTCGGGGGATCTCAACCGCGGGCCGGGCCGGGAACTGCCTGCCGGTGCCGGGGGACGAGCGGGCGCATCCTAGCCCTGGGAGAGGGGGAGTGCGGCCGCCGCGGCCCTGTCGAGCCGGCCAGCCCACCGGCAGCCCCCAGGCCGCTCGGCCTCCGCTTTCGCCAGGCTTGGGCCCCCGTCGCCCGCCAG